AATTTACGACGAACTGTCCAATGTATACTCGTGTGGTACTATTTTGTTAAACACTAAACACTTAGAGGGGAGGCGATGGCCTAGTGGTATTATGGCTGGACTATTAATCCAGAGACTCAGATAACATTCTGGGGACCCAGGTTTGAATCCTGCCATGGCAGATGGTGGAATTTGAATTCAATAAAATGTCTGGAATTAAGAATCTAATGATGACCATGAATCCATTACCAATTGTTGGAAAAACCTATCTGGTTCACTAATGTCCTCTAGGGAAGGAAACTGCCATCCTTACCTGGTCTGGCCTACATGTGATTCCTGACCCACAGCAATGTGGTTGACTCTGAACTGCCGTCTGGACAATTAGGGATGGGCAATTAATGCTGCCCAGCCAGCCACGCCCTCATCTTGTTAACGAATTTTAAAAAAACTAAAGGGACTAGTATTGCAATGGAAAGCCCATGTGCTAAAACTTTAGGCCAAATCTTGTTGGGCATGAGTAATGTGGGCTATGACAAGATGTATGGCAGAAATGAATGAGTTATTCAGCGAGGTGCATCTTGACAAGAAGATCATCTCGCACCATCTTTTGTACTTTTCACAAATAGCACAGCAGGATTCTCACTGGGCACTGGCAAGTTGCTAATTCACGATGATTAACGCTTGTTAAAGTCCTTCCTGTACTCCAACTTCCCTCGTTAATATTTTGGTCGTGACATTACCAAACACAACCAACGAAGTAGGCATCAGGAAAACTTGGCTCACCGCTTGCTCTAAATGATTATCACATTGGATGCCGGGTGTCACCATCTTACGGAATGTCCATGGGCACAGGCATCCAACGCACAAGCTTCTATGAAATCTGATGGCCCATTTCTGACCCATTTATGGCAATCTTCTGCACTTAGTGCTGCCCCAGCAATTATCATCGTAATGCTGCAGCAAGGACACTATATGCTCACAGACGCATGTCTAGTTGATGGATTGGACCAGGCTCTGTCTCTGGGCTCTTCACTCACTGTCACAGCATCCCTGCCTTGCACTGCCTGCCATTTTATACTTTGCGTCATTAGCCAGAGATAACGGCTTATATTACTATTGCCTTGCTGTGCCATTAAGGCAAGATATGAAGCCAGGAAGCTTGTCACAGTTGTCAGCAGATTTCATTCAAGTCAAGGGGGATAGCATTCAAACAAGGGATCCTGGCACAGTAACTTAAGGGCAGCCTTCAATACAGGGCAGCATGTGCAGGATCCTCTCATCATAAGGGGTGAGGAGCCAAATAAGGGGTACATACTGCATTGACTCTTTTTACCTTATTGCAGACTGCTTCACTCCTGGAAAGGGACAGAGGCAGCTATTACTAAAAATGAACGTGGGTGGTACAGCTGCTACTGCAGGTGAAGGTGTCCTAAGTGACGGAGCAGGCAGCGCAGATGGTATGCAAGGTTAGTGGTGTCAGGGATTGGAGAGGGTGAGGGCAAGTAGGGAACATGTTGCAGGCAATAGTGAGAGTGGCAGAACATGAGCCTGGGTGGGGGTTGGACAGAGTAGCAGAGAGAGAGTGAATGTGAGGTTTCAGAGAGAAGGCAGTGGCACTTATGCGGGCAGATTGAAGGACATCTTCCTACAGTGCCGGGCATTCTTCCAGATGGCTGAGATTACTTTAACTCAGTTGACGACTTTGGACCAGGTTGGCACGTTCAGATATCACAGACTCCACTGCCAGACCTGGGGTAAGAGTAAGTCCTGTCTGTGCATCATCCTGTCCAGCAGGAGCTGGTCCCTGCCTACAAAGCGTGCTATCCCCCTTATAGGTTATGCCTGGGGTAAATGTCAAGAACTGTGCAGGGTAGTTCCAGACTTACGGTGCTTGTGCTGGTGCAAAATGGGCCAGTGCCAAGGATGCCGATCAATTCTCACATTACCAGTGGGATTCCAGGTATGGTGCATGGTAAAGTGGGGTAGCTATCAGACGTGATACACATCATACGGATGGGAATGGTAATTAATGCAGAGAGTTTGGTAAGATTTGGTGAGAAAACTGACTCGACCTGAAACTGAGAATAAACTCAACATGACTTGTACTTGGCCAAAAACTGTTAAGATTCAGCCCATTTTGTCATTTACCATGGGCTTGCTCCATGATATATGTGTGCACAGACATGAAAATTACACAACCTTGTACTAATAAAGGTGCAAAACGCCTGAACAGAACCATAACAATTTGGAACAGGCACTTCAAGGGAAGCGTCCAAAAGCCTTCTATTTATTGCTGCATGTCTCTGCCCCTGCAGATGGCCATCCTTTGTAGCAGTGACTCCTTGAACAAAATGTTGAATAACCAATCTGGCAATTTGGCATTCTGCCTCAAGCTTTTTTTTTAGCAAAGGGAAAAACACAATTTTACCAGAAACCAGCAATCCTGTAATAGCTGCTAGTGTTTGCTAAACCAACTGCCAACCTCAATGCTTCCCTAGGATGCCATACACTAGACACTGAGAATGCCATCTCCACCAATTTACAGCTCTACTGATGCAGCTAACACTTGCTGAGCAATGGTGCAAGCAACATTCTGCCAGAATCTTATTATCCTTACTTAAATACAAAACTTGTCACTCTAAGTGACATTTTGTGAATGGCAAAATGCAATGAGAAGTCTGTCAGAGCTCATTTGGCAAATACCAAGAGTTGTGTTACTATATTGCAGAAGTGATATAGACCAACATAAAGTGGGAGACAAACCAAGGATGAGATTTGTTGGCAAATTAGAAAGCAGTAATCATTCACTTATGTTCCTGGGCTCCTCAGCTAACTTAAAATAGACTCAGACTAAATACCCATTTGTGGTCAAAGTGTGTAAAAGTTCCCTGCACACATGCTGGACTGTTCCCTTGTTCTTCTTTTAGAAGTATTTCTAGATGCATAATGAGCAAGTGACCTGAAGGTAGCGAATACTTGAGGAACAGAAAACATAATATAATGGGATTCATGTTGAAACAGAGAAGGGGAGCCTAAGGTAAAGGTGTTATAACACCATGGGAAATAAGGAGGTGGGGCTGAAAAACCAAAGTACAAAGCTGAAAAATTTTTGTAAATTTGCCTTGAATCTGAAACATTAACTCTGCTCATCTCTCCACAGATATCGCCAGATGTAAGTCTTTCCAGCATTTTCTGCTTTATGTTATACTACATAGGATTTGACCAACATGGAGATAAGTAAACACAATTTTAAATAGAGTGCAATTTGTTTGAAGGGCTGCAAAATATAATGTAGCACTGTTTTTCCTGTGAAAGCCTTTGTCTAATAGGTGTGTATGATACAAATATACCAATGATACTGAAATATAATGGGATGGTTTACTTTAAATTAAATTAAATAGATTCAGCACAATGATCCAATAAATAGAAATTCCCTTGGGATTGATGTGACTTAAGTTAGTTTTTTTTCACGTAACTAAACTGAAATATATGCATTTGATGGTGTCTTTATGACAAAATCATTTATTTACTAAACTCAGTGAAATACTCAAGAGTGAGATATGTATAGTGGTGCAGTCTTCTAGACACAATTGCTTTTACCATTTCTTAGTAATTATAATTCCTGTTTCATATATTTGCTCAATTTGCCAAGGTGAACTCTTCTTATTAAACCTGTTCATTTACACTCAGCCAAATCTCAGCACTCAATGGTCACTCTTTACATGGTCCCTCGCCATTCCTCAACTGGCTTCCCATTTGTACACATATCACAGTCTGTGAAATACGTCTGCCATGACCCAGTTATTCATATACCCATTCATATTCTGCTCATGTTCTGTTCACGGTGTCTATCATTTAATTGAATAAATGCTTCTTTGCAAATTCTTTCCTTTTCTCATCATAGGAACTAGATTGCTAATCATCTCGTTTCAGTTAAAATGCCCAGTATCATCGTTCAAAAACCTTTAATCAGGTTCTTTGAAACAAATGGTGGATAAACATTGCCAGTCTCCTTATTGGGCGCCATCAATAAGATCTCCCAGTATCAAGACCTAAACAGACCCAATAACATTTTCAAAAGTCTCAAAATTCTGTCCTTAAAGGTTCAAACAGATTTTACATTTTGGTAACTTTCACAGGGCTTCTTGTTATTAGCTGCAGAGTCTTGCAGTTGATAAAGTGCTTCCATCATTAGAACGCCAAAAGATCAGCTTCTTAAAGGGACCAAAATAATCTTAAGATTTACCAAGTTGGTGGTTTGTTTGTACTGGAAGAGATCAGGTTCAACAAAGTACATGAGTGCAAGTTAACTCACAGGGCACTCAGAGATGTTAGCACCATTTGTGGAGGAGAACCCTATCTTGCATGATTTTACATTAACGTCACCCAAGACGAAACAGAGCATGCACGAGTGCATTGTGCTACATTACAGACCGTTGACATTGCCATCTATCCACTGGAATTTTATTTTCAGTCTAGATAAGTTGAATGCATTTAACATTACCTTTCTATAGTAACTTACACTGTGATTAGGTTAAATATCAAATATTGTGTTACAATGACTCCTAAAGCAAGTAATTGCTCTGGTTTATAATAACATATTGACAATTGCATTATCCATTGCTACATAGTTGCAGTGAAATGAAATAATTTGCAGTAACAGATCAAATTCTGCTTTCTGATCTGTCCTTAGTTTGGTTAGAATGAGCTAGTAGTTAATTGATAACGAGTTAACATAGCATGACTCCACAGCCACATGAAATGTTGGCCATAAAATCCTAGAATTTTAAATATTGAAACGTTATTTCTACATGCTGATATATAGCACAATATCTAAAACTAATAATGTGATGCAGAGCAATACCAAAACTCTAATTATTTAAAATAAATGAATTGATTGTAATATTTGGAAAAGACTTAAGAGATCAGATATGATAGACAACCAAATGTCATTGTGCCCTATGGGGTAGTATTCCATTTAATTTATTTTAAATGATGTAATTTAAGGACAGCATACTCACCCACAGTGCTTCATATTCTGTGGTTTGTCCATTCGAACAGCCAATTTAATTTTCAGATCCTGATCAATGCTGTTTTTTGAAACAATCATTTTATGCAATTCAGCTGATTTTGGACTATTAGGTGTAGGATGTAACACAACCTGGAAAAGAACACATTATCAATGGTATTTCATTGACTGGTGCAGCCTAAATACTGAAAAAGAAATTGGAGGTGTAAAATTAGTAATATTCAAATGTGGCTAAATGTAATAAAGCAGAGTTTGACACCCACCCCAACCTGCCCCCGAGAACTGAAACCGAAACACCCAAAGAGGAGCACCTCGCCCTATAATCTGTGAATGGAATGTGAAAAGTGGTGTAACTTGCTTTTCAGCAATTTCTAGCACTCAAATAAGTCCCTAACACTCACTTTACAATCAACAAGTAACAATTTATTTATCTAACTCCAACAGCAAACAAATTAACTAAACTATTAACAAACCGAATAAACCCCTTCTAACTACTAACTATTCCGGAAGAAAACAAGATTCTAATGGTATGCTGTTCCAATAAATACAAGTTCCACTTATATAAAATTTAAAAAAATAGACTTTAGTCTCTCGAAATTACAACCCAGTTATGCGTCTTTCAAAATGTTCTGTGCCTTTTCCATCAACTGTTCTGTCAGAAACGTCCTCTCTGTCAAATGTTCTGTCAGGAATATTAACTAGCTGTGCCATAGGTACCTTTGATTTAGATGGTGCTTTCTCTAAAACTTAGAGATAATTTCGAGCTGAGAGCTGTTAACTCTAGCAGATGGCAGTTAACTCTCCTGATTTTTCCAACTGCCCTTTCCTTTTATACCCTTGATGACATATCAATTTCTTACAAGAGGATTGGTCCGACGTTGTCAAAACATTCAGATTTAAACTTAGTTACTTCTTGGTACCTAAGAGCTTGATTCAAATTCATTGGCTCAATTCAAAACTTGTTTTCTTGATAACAAAACAAAACTGCTGCTTGGCCTGCTAACTGGACAGCTTTTTGATATAAATGTTTCAATTTGAGTGCTTTCTGTGTACCTGCAAACCCACAAGCTGCTGCCCACAGACATTTTGTTTAAATCTTTAAGCATGGAAAAAGCACAACCTTTTAAAGTGACCACACAATGCCTTCCCTCCTAGCATCTTACAAACACCAATATTTTACAAACACAAAACACGTCCTGTGTTCCAATTCTCAAGTACTCTACCCAATTTTGCAACACTAAAGGTGTCACACTGAGGAATAGTATGTCATTCTTCCTTGGTTTCTAAGAGCTGTACTGAAGCTGTGTGATGCGGTTAGTGCAGTTAAGAAATCAGAATAGCAGCCAAGCTGGGGCACTCATCAATAAAAATTAAGAGATGGAAGCATTTCAACAAAATGTAGTGACAATCAACCATGTAGAATAAATGTGAAAAGAATTGTGGTAGCCAAGGTAATTCTGTTTAATTTTATTTTCAAGATTTGGGCTCATTTATGTTCAATTGTTCCTCCATCATGACTCTTTCAACTATTTGTTCAAGTCTGTAAATTGGGTTTCCACCACATACTAGTGTCTCTCTACATTGCTCTTGTGCTTCCGTTTATAAATAAAATATCAGTCAATTCTGCGGCCATTACCAGCAAACCAGTCACTAATAAACATATAAATGCGGATTTTTACTGGGCACCTGATGTTCTAGCTGAACTGTTGTAGCTGTTACAGATAACCTCATCTTACATGTGCAATCACCTTCACTAGCATACCTTATGTTGTAACTTCACTTGTACATTCTGACATTCCTACCTGAGGGTGAGGCGTATTGGTGATAGCACTATACTTGCAATCATGTTCACTACTCCATGCAAATGCTCCATAAACAAACTTAAATTCAATTAATCCTTTTGGAGTTGAAGGTTAGTCTCAGTAATAGTGACCTGTAAATCATAGTCAATTGTCATTAAAACCCATCTGGTTCATTAATATCTTTCATAAAAGGAAATCTGCCATCCTTATCTGGTACATACGACACTACAGTCACGTGTTTGACTCTTAACGGCCCTCTGGAGTGGTCAATGGTTACTCCAGTTCAAACAGCATTGAGAAATGGGCACTGAATGCTGGGCATATCCCATGAAAGAACAAAGTTTTAAAAACCTGTCTAATTTCACATGCTTGCCTATCACAGTTGTAACAGTCTGTGACAGATGCAGTTGGTCATTTGTCTATTGCTGATGTGACCATCTGTATGTTGCTGGAACCTCTGTCTCTCTGCTCATCATTGCTATGTCCGTTTGGCCCTTGATCAGAATATCGCTTTGCCTGTTACTGGTTTGTCTGTCTATCCATTATTAGAGTATTTGCCTGTTACAAATGTCCATTACTATTGACGTTGTCTGAATGTTATTGCTAATACTTTTGGAGCCAAAATTCCGGAGGTGAGGTGGAACAAATATCTATCCAGGGCATGCCCAGAGTTAAAAGCAGAACAGAATGAAATTTCTGTCCCAATGAAGGCTATTTCAAATCCTAGCAAGGGAAGGAGGAGGATGGATGGCAGAGAGGCGACAGTGAATCTCTGCCTGTTCTGTCCTGAACTCTGTTAGAGATTTTGGGGTTGAGCTTCAATCTTTCCTTGGGCTATGCTGAGAAGTCTGTCCACTTTCTGTTCCTTTGGCCAGCAGGAGTTATGCTGCTGAGAATAGGTGTACTTCTATACCAGACCCAGAAATATTTTACATGAGCAGAAAATCAATTAGATTTTCAAATTCAAAGAGAAGGTTCTGATTTTACTTCAGGCAAACTTTCAAAATTTTCTGTTTTTTTTTGCCTAAGAAGGGTGTCTGTTTCTCCCTTTCTCTTTTCTAATTGGATATCTTTAAATGGTAGCTGGTTCAGCTAATGGGTATTGCCAGCATGTACAACATTGTTTCAACACACTCCTGACCAACCTCCCATGTTCTATACTCTGTAAAGGTGTCATCATCCCAAACTCTGCTGACCATGTTCTGTTTGCATCAAGTCCCATTTCCCATTCACCCACCAACACAACAATTCACCCATGCTCTTTCAACAGCACCTTCTAAACTCATGAATGCTACTAGCTTGATGGACAATGTAGATTTATGGCAACACTAGCAACCGCAAGTCCCCTTCCAAGTTACATATCAAACTGACTCACCATTCCTTCACTATTACTCAGACAAAATGATGGTACTCTCTTCCTAACAGCATTGTAATGTCCCTGTTCCCCAAAGACTGCAGCTACTTAAGAAGGCAATTCACCGCCATCTTCTCCAGAGCAACTAGAGATGGGCAATAAAAGCTGGCCTAGCCAACGATGTCCATATTCCAAAGACAATAGCAAAAGAAAAGCCATGTTCACAATTAGCTCATAGTATAAGCAACACTTAATTGTAAAATCCACATGTAAGTTTTCAAATCTCTCTTTGACCTGTCTGACTATGTCTGTGACCCCAAAACTCTGAGATAACTACATTCTTTGGTTGTAACCTCTTGGGGGATCCCTAATTGTTGATGCACATTGAAGATCATATCTTCAGCTCCCATGACTCTAAAATCTGGAATTCCAACCCTAAACTTCCTCACTTCTCTTCTTTCACATGCACTTTATTGCCTACTTCTTTGACCAAGCTTTCAATTAGCTGCCCTAGTATCATTTTGTGTGGCTTGGTGTCATATAATATTTGATAATGCTCCTGTTAAGTACTCTCGATGTTTTATTACTTAAAAGCATTTTATAAATACAAGTCATCATTATATATTCTCCACACAGTGATCAAAATTAACCTATTTTCTCTTTCAATTTTACTTTCTTTTTTCTTGATTCCTTTATGGGATGTGGGCATCATAGCAAAGGCTAGCATTCATTGCCCATCTCTATATGCCCGTGAACTGAGTGGTTCACTCCAGATATTTCGAAGGAAATTTAAGAGTCAATCCCGTTGCTGCGGGTCTGGAGACAAATGCAGGCCAGTCCAGGTAAGGATGGCTGGATTTTCTTCCCAACAGGACATTAACGACAATCCTTAATAAGTTTATCATCACCATGACTAAGACAAACTATTATTTCCAGGTTTTAATATTGAATTTAAATTCCACCAGTTGCTATATTGAACAGTTGCTAGTTCAGCATCATTACCACCATGCCACTGCCCATCCATTTTATTAATGTTTTAGCTTTTCAAATCTAATGTAAATGACTGACTTAATTGTTCTGATATAGATGGTAGTCTTGATATACAAAAAACATTTACTTATAAAGATACTATGTTGGTTGTCAATGGGATAAAGGCCATATTCTCCCAGGCAGGTGTCCAAAAGGTGCACTCAATTGTGCTTCCAGAGGTAAACAGGATATCCTGGAATTCTGGATCCTGCATACTGGTGTCTATTATAGTTACATTTGTACATTTATCTTATTAGTGCCTCAGATTCTGAAACCACACTCTAAGTTAACTGTTACAAATAATTAACATGTTGTACAATTTTTTTTCCTGCTTGTTAGTGGGACTAAATAGATAATTCTTAGATCTTTTCTAATTATTGGTATCTCTGTTGGATACGGGGATTTTTTTCCTACAGCTCTATTGGTATCCTACTTTACAACAGCAACTACACTTGAAAAATATATATTTAGCTATAAAGCACTTAGAGGTATCTTAACATCATGAAAAGTGCCCTATAAATTTAAGATTTGTTCTTTCTACATTTGTGGCTTAATGTGTCCTAACTCGCACATTAAGGGATTCACCCATCAGCCCTGTTTTCACTGAGTTATGCTGTTCCTGGATGAACTACATATGGATTGTACCATTTTCTTCCTCACTTTCAAATCCCTCTATGGCATTGCCTTTCTCTTTACTTTTAAGTTCCTCTAGCCCTATATAAATTCAAAATATCTGTGCTCCTCTATCCCGAACTCTTGAGCATCTCGAGCTTTAATTGCTCCACCATTGGTGGCTTTGTCTTCAGCTGTCTAGGTCTTGACCACTGCAATTTCCTCCTACACTTCTGTACTTCTAACTCATTTTTCTCTTTTAATACACGCTTTAAAACCTACCTCTGACTTAATATCTCATGTGCTTAGTAATAGATTTTATTCCAGAAACCCTT